ACTTGCTTGTGTGTATTTTGTGATATTGTGGCAAGCTTTACATAGAAATGTGTCGTTTGTCCACAGAGCTTACAGAAGAGACAACAGGAGATGGCAAGAGCTGTGGAGGAAACACGTAGAAGATTACAAGAGGTTTGTGAATGTTTTACTGTGATTGAGTAATAGTCGTGTTTAGGCCCACGTTTATGTTGCCATGACAACTAATTGATGTCATAATGTGAGAGTAGGGTTGAGGGAGTTCATTAGTTGGCAATGAATGATAAGTGTTATATCCAATGAGATATATATTTTATTTAGATGGGATATGGTGCAGGATCAAAGAAGAAAACTTCTCCAGAAGAGAAAATACCTGGCACTCTAAGAAAACGCTCTGGGGGTATATGCATAGTATCCACAGAACCTGAGATTCAAGTTCCTGCTGTGACACTGCCCCAAGATGATGATTCAATGTTGAGTGACAATAAAGATGAAAATGAACTAAGCAATGTTAAGACTCAATCTACAGCAGGTATCGGAGCTGCAGCTGCAGCTGCTCGAGTTGTCCCAGACACGTTGAATTTATCAATAATTAATCAGGTTGACTCTGTGACTAAACCTGAATCAATGCCTACTGAATGCAGTGCACATAAACCAGATGTTAAGTCTTTGCCGACAAAAATAGCCCGGATGTTACCATCGCCTAGCAGCATTGCATCAAGACAAGCATCAGCTGAGATTCATATTAGCTCTTCCATGCCGTCCCTGGAGACCACGCAGTCATCACCGCCACAGCATATAGCGAACAAGGAAAACATTGTGGATATTTCTGATCAATCACCCCGGATTCAAAGGTCAAGGTCAAGATCCGAAAGTGGCAAGATTGGCATGAAAGATCTCAAAGCAGGTGAGTTGTGGTAATGTACTGGAACTGGATAATATTTAGTGTGAGTTTTAATTGATAGCTTTGATAATAATATGGTGTAAAACATTGTTTCTTGTATTTCCAAGCTTGTTACGTTAGGTGTATGTCAGTATATGCCAGTGTTTATCTATTTAATATTTATTTATTTTATGTACTTAGGAAAGTTTGAGAGTAAAAGTGAGACAAGCTCCCCAACCCATACAATGACCTTGCGTAAAAGATCAAAAAGTCAAGATAGCTTGGACAGAGCTGGAACCACATCAAATCGCAACAGAGCTGCAAGGCGAGCACGAACTGAAAGACATCTACCACCTCTACCGATTAGCAAATCACATTCAGCACCGCCAGTAGGGCACGTTGCTGTTCCAAGAACAAGAAATTCATTCTCTGGTGAAACTGAAAGTTCTCAGGCCAAAAGAACCCAGTCTTACGCTGCAGGAACCAAAAGCTCACTAGCCAAAATAAACCAAGCAGACTCAGCTACCAGCTCTCCTCGAACTCTTAGAAAGAAATCTTACCCTCTTTCTCCTGAACATAAGGACAATGACGAATCTTCAAAAACCACCAAGGATTCCAACGACAGATTCGTAATGCCTCCACCATCAACAAATGTGGTGAACAAAACGAAAACTACTAGTCGGCGATCGTACTCTGATCCCAAGTCACGGAATTACAGCAAAGCGAGGCGTTTTCCTCCAAATTCACCGAAAAAGGATTCTCGCAGTTTAACAATTAGTGATCCAAGTTCAATTTCTAAACTTCTGGAGTCTAAAGCAACTGGGGAAGGTACTGCAGTTGTCAAACCACCTATAAACGGTACCAGAGACAAAACTCAAAAACAAACGCTTTGTCTAGCTGAGAAGAGTAAAATAAGTGAAAAATGTGATGAACATATGCCAGTTATTGCAGAGTCTAAACAGGAGATTAAGTCACCTCCTCAGCAGCTTAGCGTTGAAGATGTAACAGACAATATTGCACCACTCATTTCTGTCACCACTGGTCTCATAATTGAAGAGAAAGCAGTGAAATCAGTCAAACATGATAAGATTAAAACAGACACCCCTAACACAGTAAAGACAGGCATTTCTGAGATTCAATGTTCAAATAATGAACCTAAGGCCGAAGAAAATAAATCAGAAATGGCAACGGCAGCACCACCACTCACAACTGATGTCAATTCACCAACAGGTATGTGACAATTTATCTGTATGTACAGTATTCTAGTACTTATAATAGTTGATGTATTTTGGTCTAAAGTTCATACACAACTGCCAAGTTCATTTGTTATCTGCACATGTGTACTTTTAGGGACCAGTAAAATTCCAAGTACTGCTGTTAAGATGTACACTACTACCGTTCATGTCAACAGCTAGGATAATTAAAGCCTTAGGGAGTTAAATACATGTAACTCAATATGGCTGCCTTTATCAGTGTTCACACGGTTGACTTAATAATTATGTTATTAGGTGTTATTTATGTAATTTCCATTGAGTGAATTTATAAGAAAGTTTTGACAGTAGTAAAGGCGTTCTTTAGATGCTCTGGGAAGAAAGTACAATAACTATTTCCTGTGGTGTATGTATTTTGAAGGTGTCATTTTTTCCTATTGAAATTATTAAGTCTGTTTGCGTCCATATTTATGTCGGAAATGAACTTTGTTATTAAAATCATAGAATTGTATGTACACTTTGTTGCAGATTCTTCAGTATCACTGATGACAATGGCACTGTGCACTAAAACTGCTGAAGAACTACAACATGTATTCAGTAAAGCTGTGCAGCTGCATTCGCAAGTAAGTTTATTTGTGATAAAGCTATTATTATACATCTGTCACTGTAACGTCATAAGCTACAGCGTGCCATAATTTTGGGGTATTTTCATCCTACCATATCGGGAAATGCGAATTCCAAATTCCAAAATGATTACACGCGTAAGCTTCCTCTAATAATAAAAACAAACATGGCTGCCACCAGGGTTTGACCAAACTCCACACAAAGAAGTTCGCTGATTCTGTTCTAAACTTTATGGATTTCTGCATTCCCATGATGTATCCTTGGAAGGAAAAGATGTAGAATAATAAGGTTATTACGAGGATACCGAAAAGTATGCATGAAGACAGTAAAGCGAGAGTATCAACTGCTTACTGTATTTGTGCATACTTTTCAGTATCCTCATAGTAACCTTATAATATTGTGCAACTGGGTTGTAATCACAGGATGATGAGAAATGCAGAATTCTATGTTGTATTCCATAACTTGCCACTAGAGGGCGCTGTGACAAGCCTGCTATCAATTGTCCAAAATATGTATTGTGGAAATCATGATCATTTTGGTTTTTTTTTTTTTTTCTAAAAAATCTGGCACATGGTGAATGAAAAAAGTCATTTTGGTTTATTTTTTTGAGGGGACAGCTCAAATGAGCACGATAATTTAAGCTGAGTGCTAACGAATGTCTTCAATGGGTTCAGTACATGACTGATTGGTGGTGTTAATGACAATAGGCAATTTCAATATTTCATTTGTTAAGTTATTTACTGTATTATAAAATTATATTCATTTTCTTTCAGGTGTTAAATGAAACTTATCCGGAACAAGAAAAGACACAAATGTTGTCTGCCTTGCAGTCAACGTTTACAACTATGCAAGAGACATTGACCAATATTGAGCCGACACTAACCAATTCAACTCCAAAACAATCACCTACCAGTTTACTCACTCAAGATGAAGTCAGCAAATTAAAAACTTCAATTGCATTAACAAACGGTAAAAGGGAAGACCCGCAAGTTGCAGAGGCAGCAATTTCGTTACTTGACCAGTACTCAGATATGCTTGTTTCTCTCGTCAAACAGAAGATTGCTGTGGACAACACTCCAACTTAAATTCAAAGACATAACGGAGGTCACAATATTTCTGCTCTGAATTACCGTCCTGTTTATGGTCGTTAAATATATACGTTACGTATTACATGCAGTACGCTGGATTATTGTAAAAATGTGTATAAAGATAGTTGGGATTCGTGTTGGTCCGCTGTCAAGTTCATGTGGTATTCTCTTAAATATACGTTGTATCTTAGCGGTCACAATTCCAAAAACAAACACTGCAGAGATAGTTTCATGAAGTCATGCAGAGTGTAATACCTTACAAGTGCCGCATGCACTCCATATATGGGAATTCTACCTCCTAATAAGGTACATTTTTGTAGATTGCAAATGACTTGTGCAAAGTTTGATCATAAAAAAAGAATCGCAGAACATGCAGGTTACAGCATCATATAAATAATAGTGATAATCTAACAACAGTCTGGGTGTTTTATGAATGTATAGATATATAGTTAGAAATAATATAATCAAACTTATGAAGAGCCAGCCAATCAAGAGATGTTGTATATATCATATGTGGGTGTTTGTTTGTTTGTAATTTATGACTGTTGGTGTATATATATTTAGATAAGCATTGTTGAAAACAGCTGTGGATGTAATATTGCCCTCTTCCTGGTACACTGTACTGCTTTTGTGGGTAGTATTATAATATTGCCATCTTCTATTATAGTTTTTTTTAGGACAGTATTGTAATATTGCCCTCTCCTTAGTACTGCTTGGGTAGTATTATAATATTGCCCCCTTCCTATTGCAGCTTTTCGTTGGTAGTATTGTATTATTGCCCCTTCCTAGTACAGCTTTTGTGGGTAGTATTGTAATATTGCTCTCTTCCTAGTACATTTTTTTTACTGTCAGTATTGTAGTATTGTCTTCTTTCTAGTAGAGCTTTTGAAGACAGTACTGTAATATTGCTTTTTACCTAATGAGCTTATGAGGACAGTATTGTAATATCAACCTCCTAGTACAGCTTTTGTGGACAGTGCTGTAACATTGCCCTCTTCTCAGTGTAGCTTTTGTGGATAGTATTGTAATATTGACCTTTTTCTTAGTACAGCTTTTGTGAAGTGTTGTATATTGTCCTCTTCCTAGTACAGCTTTTGTGGACAGTATTGTAATATTGCCCTCTTCTCAGTACAGATTTTAAAGACGGTATTGTAATATTGCCCTCTTCTCAGTGCAGATTTTGTGGACAGTATTGTATGTGTCATAGCTAATTGAATCCATTGTAACGTTTAAATGGTGCTACAAAAAAAAAGTTTTTATTCATGCTACAATCGATCACCTTGTGATTTCCAAATCATTACAATCATATTGTCAATTTCTTTATACAGATTTCATTTTTAATCACATGGTTTATTTTTGTACATTTATTCCAATTAAGAATGGGATTGTTTTGTGTTTTTTTGCATATCTAGAGGTCCAGCTTTTTTATTTTTGATGATTTTTTTTTATCTTTGGTTTTCAATTTGCAGTTCTATTTTTTTTTTTTTTTATTACAAGACACTTCATCTTTTGACTGCATTAAAACTATAACTGCCAGCCACATCATTAACTTTAAAGGTACCCCTACCCCACCGCACCCCCTTGTTACTCTAGTTTACATTCACTGTGTAGAATTTGATGGTCACCTTGACAAATGCATACTGCCAATCTAGTATGTTATATTGGAACCGAGAGTCATACTTTGAAAAAAACACCAGACATACAAACATTTTGCATGTAAATTTATGCTACTGAAAGGAATGCCAATTTTATTAAAAATATTTAGCCAAACATATCTTCATGTATTCAGTGAAACCATCCAGTTATTAAAATAATAAATTCTGTCCAGTAGTTTTACATCTTTTAACATTTATCAGACGTGGGAGTTTTTTTACACAAATCCGATTACCTTAAAACCTGATTTGTCCAAAAGTGGGTGTGGCCATTGTACGGTATGACCCTTTAACCTATGCAGTTTTGTTGTAAATATGCTATGCTATACTATGGTGCTGAAATGTGTTTTCTTCATTTGTTTTATTCTCTTTATTCATCCAAACATTTAAGCGGGTGGGTATGTATATAATATAATTCTGTTGTGATTGATTCACAAAGGAAAACCATTCTAGTTATACATGTGATTGCATCTGCTGATGTTTTCTGTGCACAAGTAAATATTTATGTGGAGGAAGTTTGTACATTTTTTTTTTTTTTGCAAATAAAAGGAAATCTTGTGACATTTAACATAGTAATTTTATTTCAGGAAAGAAAGTGCAGCTCTGTGTTTGGTTGAAATTTATGGAAACAGGCAATCAACTTGAAATAAATTACAAAATAACATGCATCTTTGAGAGAATTCAGTACCTCAGGATGCAATTGAGATTCCTTGTAACTGTAAAATTACTTCTTTCTCATTTTCATCTGATGAAAATGCACATTTTGAATTACTCTGTAATGATTACTGTAAAATCTTTATTAGAAGCCACGGCTTCTCATAAAATGATACAATGCAACAGAGGGGATGAGCCTTCTATTAGAGCATCTACACATATGAGAAATGATGAATTTTTGGTTATCAATTGTTAAAAAAAAATGGGTGCAACTTCTATTAGGGATGCGGTTTCTAATACAGATTTTACGGTATATCATATTTGCTCTATTAGTAGAACTCATGCTATGTAAATTACAGAGGTATTTCTATGGTAAAAATAAGTCGGATTTTAAAGTGGCAATATATCTCGTACTCATTTTTAGATAATCGCGCTTTCCGTGATTTTTTTTTTTTCTTTTTTGTCTTTATGCAACTAACTAACATTGATAAAGAAAAAAAAATTGTACCTGCGTCATTGTACATGTTATCAATGCAAGGTCCAGTGATGTCCACAATCACGTGATTAGCACATTTCTTCAAATTGCAGCAGAACAATTATGGACTACGACTGGATTTTTTTAGTCCCTGTTCGGATGCAGTTGGAAAACAGGAACTTAAGGATTGACCTCTGTGCGTCCATGCATCCGTGAGTGCCATTTTTTTTAACAAGAAAGAAGTATATTTTTATTACTAAAATGATATATTTTTTGAAACGTTCATGTGTGAATTAATTCTATCCATTTTTAAGGACTTGGAAAATTTCTTCCAATTATATTTCTTAAAAAGCAGCCTGTCGGCTGAGATAGCTCCGCTGTTAGCAATGCACATTTCAATTAAGAACTGAAACTATCATTAAAAAATGATCAATATGTAAAGTATCAAAGCAATCAGACTTGTGGTTTTTAACAGGAAGTCGAAAATATCACTTTTTACCAAAAATGACAAAAATATTCATCAATATTGGGGAATTGAAGATATCATCACGAAATGAAAAAATCTGAGAGAGGTCCACATATAGTACATATATATGTAATATCAAAGCAATTGGACTTCTGGTTTTTAACAAGAAGTCGAAAATATCACTTTTTACCAAAAATGACAAAAATATTCATCAAAATTAGAGAATTAAAGGTATCATCAAAAAATGAACAAATCTGAGAGAGGTCCACATGTAGTACTTATTTATGTAATATGAAAGTAATCGAATAATTTTTTACAAAAAGTCGAAAATATCACTTTTTACTAAAAAAATATCCACCAAAAATAGAGAATTCAAGATTTTGACATGAAATGAACAAATCTGAGAAAGAACCATCCAAGGTACTTGCATATCAGATTTGAAAACATTCTGACGCGGTTTCGAAAAAGAAGTTGAAATTGTAAAGTTGACGACTATGGATGACAACAGACAATCAGCTCTGTGTCAACAGCGGAACTAAAAAGCTCTGACATTTCAAAAACACTTTCAATACAAGGACGACTATTTGACTAGTCTGATGTGTAAGTCTGCTGGAAAATACAAGGGTAGTAAATAAAGAATATAGAAATTTTAATAATAATTATTAATATTTATTGACAACACAAAATCTTATGAAAGTTGTAAGAATGCAATAAGAATGTGCAGTTTTGTATTAAAAATTATTTCTCTACTAAAAAAAATAGTTTTGTTTACTCCCGTGTAATTGGTGATAAAAATGACTAGTCACTGAAAAAAAAACTTTCCATTTTCTGGAGATAATTTTGACATGGGAGCCGTATGTAAATATTCCTTTGGTATGTACATGTTTATTCTATTCAGTAGAAAAGACAACAACATTGAAACCAATATGTCAGGTTTTCAAAATTCAATATTAGAGATCCAAGAATGTTTTTCTCTTGCATGATATGAATGACAAAATACTTAAATCATTATCTACTGTAATTATGATGTATCCATAATTATCACTTGGTGTTAATTAGTTAATTAACAATTGATATATATTTTAAACATTGAAAATAATCAACAACAAATGCAAAATAATATAGTTATCAAAACTATGGTATACTTGTATCTCACTAGTGTCATTAAAATTAATTACTACACAATTACTGGTGATTACAATAAAAAAAAAAAAATAAGTGATTTTCCGTTCAACTGCAAGATCTTGTGTATTATGTGGAAGACGTGGGTCTGTCGCAATAATTTTACGTTTTGATTTTGAATTTCTTTTTTCAAAGTCGAAAGGCCGATCTTAGACTAGGGAATATTGCATTTAGATACCCTTACTTAATCGAAATTAACCAACATCAAATGTGTACAGCACATTATTAAGCATGGAAATATCCCCCAAAATACTCGTTGAATCCCATGTGATGTTTGATGCCACTACACCTTTTGTTTGTCCTACCGGTATTTTCACGTTTGATTTCAAGCATAACTCAGAATCTCACAGTGAACGGAAAATGG